AAAAAAACCACAACAGTCTCACAAAAAAAAAAAAAAAAGAAAAGAAAGAAAAAATAGAAAGTGGAAGCCTGAATTCAGGGTCCCAGCTCTCGAGGGAGACTTTCTGTGTCAGCGCTGTGTGGAGCAGGACCTTGTCTCCTCCCAGCATCTGTGGCCCAGTGTCCCTTGCCGATCTCCATGTGTCTTGGCATATGTCTTCCTCTAGATTTAGGAGCTCCTGTGTACAGGGACCCTGGTCCAAAGGATGGGGTCAGCGCCCGGTTCTTCCTGCTCCATTGAGCAGAAATGTGTTCCGTCTCCACCTTTACAAGATCTGGGCTCCATGTCTGAGAGCTGGCGTCTGCTGTCACATCTGCTCACAGATAGTACTGGCCCCAAAGCACCCTGGAGACCCCACCCCAGTAGAGGACTCCTGCTTGGAGATGGGGCCAGAGGTGTGACAGCGTGAGGTTAGGGACAAGTTCTCAGCCTGGACAAACGTTTAGAACTCTCTGAGTCTCAGCTTTCTACTCTGGAAAGTGGGTACGATCACGACCTCACCCGTTCTTTCTGAGGATCAGATGAGGTGATGCAGAGAATGCACTTAGAGTGAGTTCTGGCAGGTAACAAGCTCTCAGAAAATGCTAATAATTGCAGCTGTTGTCATGGTTACCTCAAAGGTGCTGAGAAGGGCCTTCAGCACATCCAAAGCCCGATTTCCCTGATGGAGGAATTTTCTTCCACCTACAGAGCCTGGACGTAGATTCAAGGCTGTAACTGGATTTCCCTTGTAATTCACAGGAAGCCGGAGCTCTCAGAGCTCACCCAGGTTTACCCCGTAGTTCAGAGGCAAGGAGGTGGGGGCCGGGTCATTGAGGCATGCACCTCTTGAGTGGACGCAGAGCTGGGTAACCCCAGATCCAGGACACTGACCTAGGAGCACGATACTTTCAGCTACCACCCCATCCAGGTCTCTAAGTGCAAGACATACGTGTTCTCGTATCCTCACCACATGCCACACAGGTCCATTAGGGGTCCATCTGAGACCAGAATGGCTGTGGGAACCCAAAAGGGGGAGCATCCAAAACTTAGCCAACGGGAAGCTCTATGGGTCATGAGACAGTGTGAGGGGTTAATGCTGAAGTTGGACCCTGAGGTTGGAAGAAACCCCACAGTGGCTGAAACAGTGGACTCCGGCATGTCAGTGGTGCAGGACCTAGCGGCGTCAGGACCTTCTGACCATGAGCAACAGAAGCCCTACATACAGGACTGTGAGCAGACCACTCTCCTCAACCTGGAGGGTCACAGGAAGGCAGCGATGGGGCTCTGGTCTAGGCCGCCCTCTGTGCTCCCCCTTCAGTCTCAGCTCAGCACTGGCTCTTTCTGCACTAGGCTCTTTCCATGAGGCAAGAAGACCCTGGAGTCACACGAGTCCAGGTGGGAGCTCCAGGAGAGAGAGCCTTTCACCTGAGCATCACAGGTAATCCCAAAGGAAGATCCCGATTGGCTGTTGATTCAATCACGTGCCCTTTCCTCACCATTGGAAAGAAATGGGATCCAGGTCAAGCGTCCATTCCCGTGTCTAGAACGGCATGAGTCTGCCTGGAAGCCCTTTCTGACTGTAAACCCACCAGTCAGTGTGTCAGTGTGCCACCCAGTGGTGCCCTGCATGTGGCTGTAATCCTGGAAGATTCACCACTGTCTGCCACGTACCGGCTCTCCCACAGTGGACAGGATGCAGTGAGCTTCCAAACTAAGACAAACCAGGGAGGAAATCGACTTCCAGAAGCCAGCCATTGGAGACCCGGAAGGATCACAGCAGGGTACCATCTGACCATGGCAGGAAGACAAGGTCCCAGGGTGGAAGGTACAGACGGGGTTGCAGCAGTGAACGCAAACCTGTCAACTTTCACCCGGATGGCTGAAGGCTGGCCAAGGTTTTCCCGTTCGGTCACTGTGGGTCAAGGGCTACACAACGGTAACCTAGAAAGGCAGCCAATCCAGATGACATGATGGAGGGGGGCCGATCAAGGAGGGACAGGTGGGTAAAAACAGACACCCCCAAACCAGGCTGTGTGTGAGGCAGTCTTTCCTCCTATTGCTCTTCAGTCAAGAGCTGCCCAGGAGCACCTCAAACTGAAGAGCGTGCTTATAAATATCAATTCACAAGATTACACAATTTACATGTAAAAGGGGCCTCTTTTCTCATGAGGTTCATAAACCAACTCTGAAGCAATTTTGAAGGAATTGTGCAAAATTGTAGTTAGCATTAGCAATATCGCCAGATAGCAGCCAAAGCCTCCCCAGGTGACTGCGTGGACGGACAACTTTCATTTGACTCCAGAAGCGGGAAGTGCTGTTGAGGTTTGTGGGGGGTTTTAATCCAGATGACATACAGCATTATTTTGGTAATAATAAACCCTTGCAAATATATTTGCAGTATGTATATAAAATCTTTCCTTTCCATCCAAGAATCTGGGGATATGAGAATGGGTGTGAACGACCAGCTAAGTATAGAGCAGGGTGTAAAATGGGGTTTGCAGGGCCCTGGGGCCCTGTACCTGTTAGTGTGGTTCTCACACACGCTGGTGCTCCCTGGGAGTGAGTTACAAGTAGGTGAGTAATCAGAGGTGACCCAGCAGGACTAGGGTGGGGCAGGCATCTTCACTCTCCGTTGTTGAGAACCGTTGAGTCAAAACCGACCCATAGCTGGACCTCCAGTAAGTTTTCAGAGCCTGTGTAACTCCATCTCACATACTTTGGGCATGTGACCAGGAGGGACCAGTTCCTGGAGTCGTGCTTGGAAGGGTGGAGGGACAGCGCAGGAAGGGAAGACCCAGATGAGGTGGACTGACACCGTAACTGGGTATGGGGGTAGGTGCTTTGGAGATAGAGACTGGCTCAGAATAGGGCACAGTTCAGAGCTATTGTACATAGGATCGCTATTGTACATAGGATCACAGTGACTCGATGGCACATAACTACAACAATCACACAGAAGGAGATTGTTTCTCTTTCTCCCACAGAGCAGCTGGTGAATTAGAACTGCATACCTTTGGGTTGGCAGCGCGACTCCTTACCAGTAAGCTACCAGAGCTCCCCGAGCACTGTGAGAATTGCTGGAGCTTTTGACCAACCTAGGCAGTGTTCCTAAGGAGCCTGGTAGTACTTGGCCGCTAACTGATAGATCAGAGGTTCAAACCTCCCAGCCTCTTAGTAGGAGGAAGACATAGCAGTGTGACTCCCTAGATTATCCAGTGCTGTCCAGTCTGGGTCTTCCTGGGTGTTTTGTAGTGATTAATACCAAGTGTAGAATTAGTTATAATCCTTCCTTTATTTGTACTGAACCTGTTGAAATACTGTGACCCAAAGATTTCGCCAACATTTTAAAAATATACATATTCACTTGGGTGAATATTTTCTGAGTGTCTGGGAGGTGGGGAGAGTAGAGTGGTGGAGAAACACATTTGTTTTAATCAGTAAGAAGACTGTGGACAGAGGCCATGTTTACAGGATGTAGCTTTACCCTTGACCTTCTCTTGTTCTCTGAGAGCAGTGATACAGTAGCAATCAGATTACATCAGCAGCGGAGGGATAGTCTTGTGCCCTAAGAATGTGACATTGTCCTGCGGGCTCACCTGCCACCACTCTCTGTTCTGCTCTTGTACAGTTAGAAGCCAAGTCTTCAGACGTCCTGTCCCCCGTCGGGCAAGCCCCTCAGTGGTGCTCACCTGCCTTTGCCATCACCTGTGTGGACTAACCTCTGCTCTTCTTCCAGGACACAGCGGGAGCCCCAGGGAGCAGGGACTGTGACTTTTTCTCCTTTCATAGTATTTAATTTTGTTTTCAGGGTGGGTTCACACAGCCATGAGATTCCCATTCAACAATTTCTACACAATGGTTCAGTGCTGTGGTGACACTTTTCACAGTGCAGGAGCCATTCCAATATTTCTATTCTGGTTGTTTGATTTCCACTAATCTTGTTTCCTTGCTCCTTATAGCCTCATCTCGACTTTAAAACAGCTGTAGTTTGTAATGTAACTGACCTATAATGGAAAGATGGCCATGCACCCGCTGGAGAGATGGACTGTTTCCTCTCGTGAAGATTCTCAGCCCTAAAACCTACATGGACAGGGCTATGAGGCAGAGTTGACTTGAGAACAGTGGGATTATTGACTTTGGTCTCAACTAGAAGATAAAGGATGCAATTCTCGTGGGCAAAATTCTTTCTTTTGTAAACCTGTTCATTTTGGTTAAAACGTGAACATCCTCTAGTCTTACTAAGTCCAGCAAGTCTGTTGCTGATGTTCTGTGGGGACTGTGTTGGAGTCATCTCAGCCTCTGTAGGGCCTGGGACAAGGTGGGAATCCATGAATGTCTGTGATGACATTTCCCAGGTTGTCATTTTCTACTTATTCTTCATTCCGAGCGACTGTGAATTCTTTCTGGAAAGGCAGAACAGGTTGATGAATAAAGCACATATTAAAAGAAGTTTTCTAAAAATTCCTTCCAGGTACTATCTTGGTCGCCGGATGTTTATCGTTATTTCTGACCCAGCCATGATCCAGCAGGTGTTGGTTGAGGACTTCAGTAACTTCAGCAACAGAATGGTAGGTGGCTTCCTCTCTGCGTCTGGTGGTGCATGGGTGGGTGGGTGAGTCGTCATTCGGACAACGGCCAGGTCTACTGCATTCAGACCTGAGCTATTTCCCTAATGCTTTGAGTTCAGAGAGGGAGGCCCAGGGCTGGTACGGTGCTTCAGGAAAGCTAATGAAAATGAAATCCTGACGCAGGAAGTTTTCCAAGCAGAGTTCACGGCTGGAGGGATCTGGAGGGCACTCCCAGGAGGCCCAGGGGGGCTCACGACATTGGTGGGAAGGCAAGAGTCTACTTTCTTGCTCTCATCTTTTCCTGAGAATGTGGAAGTCTGACGATAGGAAAGAGAAACCAGCTATTAGGGGAGATTTTGTACCCACATAGGAGAGGCTTACAAGGATCCTCCTATATTAATTCATGAAAGGAATGAATAGGTCCCATCTTTTCTGAAAAATGATACATTCCTACTAATTCTGATGAAGTCTTAGACTGGATCTGTTGAGAATTCTTGTTGTGGGCTGTTGGAGTCTTAGAGGCTGGCTTTGATGGATGCTGTCACTGTAGATCACTGGGGCCCTGGACAGTGATAGATGCTGTCACCATAGATTACTGGGGTCCTGGGCAGTGATAACTGCTGTCACTGTAGATCGCTGGGGTCCTGGACAGTGATAGATGCTGTCACTGTAGATTACTGGGGCCCTGGACAGTGATAACTACTATCATTGTAGATCGCTGGGGTCCTGGACAGTGATAGGTGCTATCACCAAAGATCGCTGGGGACCTGGGTGGTGATGTTGTTGTTGTTGTTGTTTGGTGCCATCGAGTTGTAGACAACTCATAGCGACCCTATGAACGAACAGCCTGAGCACTGTTCGTACATAGAGTTTCCGGAGGCAAGCCATTTCGGAAGTAGATGCCGCTCCTGCTTCCAGGCTTGATTTAGTTGGGAAGCTCCAGCCAACACTGTCCACCATGGGTACCCATTACCATGATTGGCACATCACTGTCACAGTCTTCAGCATCACAGCAACCATGAGTTACCTCTGTACAGCAATGCACAGACCAGTGCTATACCACCTACAAGAGTGTTTGACAGGAAAACAATTTGAACCTGGCCGAGGGCCACAGATGACAATCACCCACCTTAGGCTTGGTAGCATAACTGCCTTTCCACTAGGCCAACTTTCCAAGACCCTGGGAGGAGCCAACCAGGAACAAATGGCTCCTTCCTCTCCCAGCTGCCTTTGGGCTTAAGGCCGCCTCCTGGTTCAAACCCTAGGCCCAGGCTGGCTAGCCTCGCTCCCGGGGACAGAGCAAACCTGCACGTAACAAACACATGCCCGGAAAAACAGTGGTGATAGTTGCTGTCATTATAGCTTGCTGTGGTCCTGGACACTGGCTTTGATAGAATCTGTTCCTGGAGTTTGTTCAGGTTTTAACCTGGGCCTGATGACACCTAGCTCTGTAGGGACTATTGTGTAAAGACCATGAGGAGTTTGGTTAATGGGGAAGGGACCAGGGATCTCCTGGGTGAGAGAGCAACACCCCCATATCACACCTGCACGTGCAGGGACTGCTCAGACAGCCGCCACAGCTCTTGAGCATGTAAGAGTCCTGAAGACACCAGGCTGTGCCCCAGGGCGTGAGACCTCCACACTTGTGCTGACCCGGGACTGCTCTCTCTCAGGGCAGACACATCCAGGCTTTCCTCATCTCTCCTCCAAACCATCTGTCTGCCGCCTACTGTCTTCTCCACCAAGGTCTCCAGGTCCAGGGCCCCAAACTTCAGAGTATGATTCTGTTTCCTTCCTCTTCCAGTCAGCATAATGTCCTCAGACTGAAGTTCAAGTTCACAGACAAGATCAAAGGTCCTCCATAATTTAGAGACTGTGTGTGATGTGACCTCTCGTTGCTCCCCAGCACAGCCTGGCGCCCAGCTGGTCCTGCCTGGGCAGCTTGCTCCCAGCCTGTGCCCAGGAGGACATGTCCATCTGCATGGAGGCCGCAGAACACTGTCTCTTGCATTTTTTGTAGCAACCTGAGTTTGAGCAGAGAGCTAACTTCTTTAGGCCTCTTTTCCTCCTCTGGAAAACGGTGATACAACTTCCTAGGCTGAGCAAGGTTAAATGAGACCGAGCACATGATCTCCCGGTTGATGCGGTTTTTGCCAGTTAGAGAAGCGCTGTGTGTTAGTGACCATAGCATGGGGCTCCTCCGTACTCTTCTGACCCCAGCTAGACATCAAGGCTTCAAGCTCGACCTCTTCCATGAAAGACCCACTTCAGGTCACAACTGCTGCTCCCTTCCCTGAACCCCACGCACACTTCCCATCCGCCTCACGCACTTGGTCAGTTGGTTGCATTCTGTCTTCTGCTGTTTACATGGAAAGGAAGGAATGACTTTCACCAGACCTTGACAGCGCTTCTGAGCCCAAGAATTCCAGCTTGCCCATTTCTGTACGCTCTGTGACCCAAGCTACTGGTTCCTACGTAATATCTCCATGATAGATGGAGAAAAGATTGAAGCTGTTAACGACTTCATCTTACTTAGATCTACAATCAAGTCACTTGGTACAAGCAGGCAGGAAAGCAGGAGAGGTAGCACGCTGGGTAACTCTGCAGTTAGGGACCTCTCCAAATTATTAAGGGGCAATAATAGTTTGAGTACTAAGGGGCTTTTGAGTCAGGCCATGGTTTTTTCAATCACTTGCTATATTGCTGAGAGCTGAAGAGTAAATAAGAAGGACAGAAGAAAAGCTGGCACCTTTGAACTGTGGTGTTGGAGAAGAGCACTGAGCATCCCATAGGCTGTCGAAAAAGTGAAAAGACATGTCTTAGGGAAGGTGCAAACAGCGTGCTCCTTGGAAGCAAAGATGAAAAAGCTTCCTCTCACATGCTTTGGGCATGTCACTGGGAAAGGCTATTCCTTGGAGAGGGACATCATGTTTGGGAAGGTGGAGGAACAACAAAAGAGAAGAAAGATCCTCAACCAGGTGGATGACCACAGCAATGGGCTCACATGTTTCAGAGATAGTCAGGACGGCACAGGATAGGACAGGGTTCAGATCTGTTGTTTATAGGGTCCGCATAAGCTGTACTTGTCACATGACCCAAGCACGTTATGAATATTTAGTAAACAACGTATTCTTGTTCAGATCGAGTGGAATTTCTATCAACTTGACATTCTTTCCAGAAGAACTAAGTAGTGTCTGCATCTGGAGAGAAGTGCATTGACACCTTACATGCAGCTCTTCAGAGGACTGACCCCACAAGCAGCTCCACCAGAGAAAGGCAGACGAACTCCGGTGTGATTTGCAGGCTCCCACAAACCCCACACAGGCTCATCTCTGAGTCGGTTCTGACCGCAGGGCAATGAGAGGCCCTGTAAACACGTCCTCGTCTCCATCATTTACCAGCACGTAAGAAGATCTACCCTAGAGTCCTCTTGGCCATCGAGTCCACGCTGATTCACAGCATGCAAAGAGTAGAATTCCTGCCCTGTGTCTCCAAGCTGTAGTCTCTGTGGATGGAGACAGTCACAGCTTTCTCCTGCCGAGTGGCAGCCAAGCTTTCAACCACTGTGCCACCAGGGCTCCCCACGCTGTGTTAGGAAACACGCCCTGTGATAATGTCTCCACCTGGGAATGCGTCCATTCAACATTAGCTTTGTTTATGGTCTTTAAGGCAATTCCATATTCATGATAAAACAATCCTTCGTGACTCAATCGTGTAAAAACAGCCTTTTAGACTGGGATTTTCTCACAGGTTTTCAAAGTCAAATTAAATTGGGTTCTGGGGTTCCCTCTTATCCATATGCTTACTGATCTGCTCAAAGAACTGAGAGATTAGTGAAGCACGCCTTCCTCTTCCCAGCACCAGCCTGCCTCCCCTGAATAAGCCGTGTTTACTTACGTGTTCAGCGATTCAACTTTATTATAGATTCAGTCAGTAAACATTAAACGCTTACTCCATGAGAGATTCTACCAAATGGTCTCTTGTGATACAGAAGCCTCGGCACATTAGTTTGATGCATTAAGTGAACAGAACTTAAATAAAGCGTGGCTTCGTTTCCCAAGCTGAGGGCACATGTCTGCTCTCACGCTCAGCTTGGAGCCACATGGACGTGGATGGCCTGGTGGGAGGGGACTTGGCAAGGTGGGAGGCCGTGCCCGGCTCTTCAGTGTGGTGTGAGCTGTGGGCATCCAGGAGGGGCTGGCAGGACATACGGATGGGTGGCGGGGCGAGTTTATCAAGTGTCCCTCAGGTACTGTAACAAAATACCACCTATTGGGGGGTTTATAGGACAGTAGATCAAATATTGGTCTGCAACCCAAAAGATCAGTGGCTCGAGTCCACCAGCCCGCTCCTTATGAGAAACATGAGGTCGTTTGCCCTGTAAATATTCACAACATTGGAAAAGCAATGGCTCATTTCTACTCTGTCTACTTAGGATTGCTGGGCGTTGGCATTGACTCAAACCATGGCAGTTGGCAGGGTGGCTTGGCAGAGCCAGTGTGTTTTCAGTTCCAGAGACTGGAGGTCCAGTCCAGATGTTAGTCACTCTGAGTTCTCCTGAGGACCGAGGGGCGATCTGTCCATCCTGTGTCTCTCCTGACTTCCTGTGACTCCTGGAAAGCTGGGACATTCCTTGGTCATCCCCACGCCACTGTCTGCTCTCATTATCTTCTCCTTTAATAAGGACATCAGCTGTCCTGTCCTGTTCTAGTGTGGCCTATGTAAACTTAGCTAATTATATTTGCAGCAGAGACAGACAGAGAGAGAGGGAGAGAGAGAGAGCGCAAATCAACTGCCTTTGCACCAACTTCACCTCTTTTGGCCCCACGGTTATCAGAAGAGAGCTGTGCTCTACTGGGTTTCAGGGGTGAGTTGGGGCAGTCAGCCGCCAAACCCTCCTCCTGAGTTGTACCTGGCCACGTGATGCACTGACTTCTGGGTTAGAAGCTGAGCGCTTAACCATTTCATCATCTGAACGTCCCCACCAGAGGCCAGGCACT